ATCAGGAGCACAGATGTTGATAGCAGATGGGAGAGGCTGCCTCAGAAAGCAGCAGATGGAATTTGAAATCACCATGGATAAATGACTGGGCACAAGCACTCAGCATGCCATAATGCCATGGTGAAAATATTTCTGGACACAAATATCAAGAGGTTGAGAAGCAATCTTAGCACCATTTTTTTTTTGTGCTATGTAGAGCATTGGGCTAACAATGGGTGCCGGGTCATGAGAAACAGGAACCGTAAAGTTCCAGAACAAAATGATTCCAGCTTCTGAATCCAACATATACAACATAAATCCTCAAGTGCCCATTTTCTGCAGTTCATCCAAGAACTGAAGAGATTAGTGGATAGCAGGAGACCATCTGGGACTTCTCAGCCTTGTCAATAAGGAGGCAGCAACCCCCAGGCTGAAGTTCAAAGCCCAACGTGAAAATGCAATTGAAATTCTCAGTAATGACCACAATCAAATATTAGAACAGGTTCTCCCAGTACATGATGAATTGCCACTATCTTTAGGGCAAGYTTAGGGCACTAACTTTCAGGAAGGAACACTCAGATACAGCTTTCAGAGTCAGTTTTTCAGATAAGCAGTAGAGAGGGGGTGGAGAAGGGAATTGTGGCAGGTGGACAGAAAATTCTGGAGCAAGAAGGGCACCCACAAAGGGACTGKTTTTGGTGCAATTTGCATTCCACGTATTTGACACACTCAGAAAGCTTACCTTGCTGCTTGGGGACAGTGACTAATTAGAATTCTCACAATGCAACCATTCTCTCGTGAGGGTGGACAATTTTCCCTTTGTCTGAGGTGYAATCAAGCCTTGGGAGTGTCCTGGAGAGCGCAGGAGTTTCTGCAGAGGTTTCTCAGAGACAAAAGGTTATTGACACAGACTAGACCAGCCAGTCTTCTCTCAAAGTTTGAACTATTCCATTTTCCAAGCAGTGGGGTGGCACAGATTGTCCCCTGATTTACTCACCAGTAACAAAAACTCAATAGAGCATTCTGCAGTGCAGCCCAGAAAACTTGTTCCTAATGGTTTATTAAACCATTTAGCCCAGAGTCAATGGCACAACACTCCTGATGTATAGATTTCCCTAAAGTACACACCAAATTAGCYTCCAGCAGCTGCTTTGCACACACTTTTTGTCAAGACTCACTTTTTCCAGCATCATGACTCAACTCTTTCCTAGGAGGAAAATCACTAAGGTTTGGCAGTCTTGCCTACAGAATATGGAACTTGTTGAAATGAAGAATAGATCACAGTACTGCTATTGCAGCAAAACATGACTGCTGTTTGGGTCTTAGATCCAAATTCAAGTGGTATATGCTGGAAAATAAAAATATTCTTTTATTGCTGAAAATAGCAACTTTGGGTATTCAGTGTATTGATGARCTAAATATACTAATATGAAATAATCAAAATTCAAAAGAAGCAGAAATGCCCAGAATTTTTTTCTCTCTCACAGGACAAACTGCTCTCTRTAATGGCACTTTGAATACTCTGATTTCAAAAATATTAAATACTCCATCATGGAAGGAAGAAGAAAATAAGAACACTTGACAGCATAAAGGCAATAATATAGAATACCATGTGTCTAATGCCTCACAGTCCAGGACTCATCTTGCACAGCACAAAGTAGAGTTCTAGCAGTTACAACAGAACAAGATACTTATTTTCACTAACAGTACAACTGCAATAGARCAAAAACATCTTTCTTTAGCTCCTCTGAATTTCTACCACTATATAAGCTCCATATGGAATTTAGCCAGTACTCTGGAACCACTTGCCTAAGCACTGCTATTTTTTAATTTCAGTATCTGACCCTGCAAAACTGAGCTTGGTCTTCTAGAAACAGAAGGGTGATACCCAAAATAATTAYGAAGCTTTCATGGTATGACAAATARGAGTCAAGGTAAGAGTGACAAGCAGATGGTTTACTTTGCCCAGCTCCATTATCAGTACTCTATTTAAGTTAACAGGGAAGCAATTAGATCTGGAAAAGGGACTACACAAGGTTCATGATTAGCTTCCATGGGATCACAGCACCTCTAAATTCCACAGAAGTTTCCACTGCAGGTGTTACAAGGTCCTGGAAACTGGAATTCCTCCAACTGAGGCTAGAGCTTGTCTGAGCTCTAGAGGGGATTAGAAGCAAGCACACTTTTTAAGAGCATGTATCCTTTATTCTAGAGCAGGAGCAGCAAGCAGACTGCTATCCAGCCCTAGCTTTCACTCAGCTTTGAGCTGCTCAATTCCCACTGACCACWGGTTAATAGTAGCATCAGCTCTCAGGATGTGAAGGGCTTTCAACCTATGAATAACCTGAAGAACAAAGGCTGACTTTATTTCTTGGCCCCTTGGCTCCTGAGTTGAAGTTGGCAGTAGCAAATAAAGTGGAGTGTGTCACAGAACAGACTGGCAGGCTCTAGCTCAGACCAGACCCTACCTAACAGGCCTAAGGTTTGTGTCTCACCACATCTTAAAGTCAAGTGGAGACYAGAGGATGGTCAGAAAGTTTCTAAAGAATCATTTTTTTCCTGTCTCTATAATGTAAGTGAAAAACACCTAAAGCAAGCATTACTGCCTACCCCACAYTATTACTTGTGCACCTGCACACACATTGGTCAACAAGCTCTACAGATAYTTTGTCAGCATTATTTAGAAGCAAAAAATTCCTTGAGGCAAGGGTTGTTTAGCATAAGTTTATTTGCACAAGAATGTAAGCATCATTAAGGTCCAAACCCCAATTTCCAAAAATGACAAGTGAACACCACAGTGCAGAACAGGAGACAAAGTGACTGTGACTTYCATTTGGGCTCATCACAAATCCAAATATTTCCAGTACCTTGTTTTGCCAGCTTAAAGGGGATAAGGGGGGGAGGGGAGAAAAAAAAAAATCACTTCTTTCAAAGAGATGACTGATTTCCTAAGAGCTGCTTTCTTTTAATAGTGAAAAATCATGAGATAAACATAGGAAAAAAGGCCTTTTAAATTTCAATGGAAAGTGCAATTTTATTCAGAGAGACAAGCCCAATCCAGATACATCAGTGAGAAAAAGCAGAGTGCTCCAGCCATTCCCCACAAAGTTTCTACTACAGATCAACATCCCACTCTAAACCTAGCTTCACTGAAATTAAAGAACATTCATGAAAKACACTTAATTGTATTCAAGAAACAATTGAGAAAGACTTAGACGTGAAGGCTAGAAGTTTCATTATTCATTTGGCTCTCCCAATGCCCAAATTAGACCAAGTTGCCAGTGGCTGTGGTCAACTTACTGCTTATTCCTGTGCCCAACAATTACAGAATCCTGGCCAAGCTGAGTGAAAGGAATAGGAAACAAATACCCCAGTACACTGACAGCTTAGAATTAAGGCAATTTGTCCAGGTTCTCTTCCAAGAGGCCTTTTCCCTGCTACTCATATAGCAACAAGCAGAGATCACTATTGACATCAGTGGTTATTCTAGCAACCGGGAACCCACAAAGTTAGGCACGTACCAAATGCTCAACCCCAGGACTCAAGTCCAAAATATGTATCTTCAAGTTTCAGTAAAAAGCTTTAGGTATTTGGGCTAGATTTAAATACTGCCTACTGCTTTGTAGAGGAGATGATTAATGGGAAAGCATGAGGATCTTTTGAAAAATGGCTACTCAGAAGCAAGCAGTAGTCTTTGACCTCCAGCTTAGTGACTGGCTGACTGAGCTGAGGACAAACACAGCAATGATTAAATCCTGAACAGAGGAAGCACAAACTATGCTTTAGCTTACAACTTGTCACAGTGACCGTGGTGATCCACAGGGATTTTACCAAAGTGACTAAAACCCAGTTTTCTACCAGGTCTCCTTGGTAGCATCTCTATYAAATAAGTCTAGGATGTCTACCTCACAGTGAGGAAGTCACAGCAATAAACTGCAAGTAAGGGAGAGCTTGGCAATAATGTTGTCAACAGGTACTTAACCTCAGACTGGCTTTGTCCAGCAGTGTTTATAAGCTACACATGGAAAACAAATATTTTATACCACAGCCTAGTTAGTAGAAGCTTGATCCTGAGGAATGATGTACTGAGTGTTACTGCAGCTTTGTTTTAATGACAGTGCCCAGGGGGAATGTATCAGGTAAAAGTCTGAAATAAGCAGTGTCTCTCTCTAACCTCCACATGACACACAAGGGGGCAACAGAGGTTAGAACAGGATTGCAGAGGCATTGCTAGTGCTGGGGGGTGACTGAATCAAGCAGGCATCCTAGACTTGGCCTAGGCTCATCACTCTCACCTAGTGTTCAAWTTACCCCTTGCTATAGGGATCACCATAAACCTGAACTCAGGCCAGTTAACACACAGCAAATTAAGCCAGTGCCACTTGCACCATCAACCCAGAACAGAAAGGGGTAGACTGCTTGTAACACAGTGATGAAAAGCTACCAAGTACACCAGCTTTACCTGCCAAGCCAGGATTATTTTGAAGGCAATGGGACCCGGAGTGCCCCAGCAATCCTTGGTACTCCAGGGCCAATGAAGCAGACAGCATGCAGCTTCAGGATACAATTTAACCATGTGAGAGTTTAGTGTCTAAAAGCCAGGCTACAAAGCACCAGTACTGCCCRTGTGCCACAGCATCTCAGGGAACACAGAGTCCTGCAAAGTTCAAAACCGAGGCACTCTGCTGTTCATTCAGTGTGGAGCTTCCTCAGAGGCCTCAGCATCAAGTTACTCTAACAAAAGCACAAYACTTATGGCAGGAAGCTTAACTTCTCCATAGCTCTATCTCACCAGGAATCCATTTCAGCTTTTTTTTTTTACTTCTCTAGAATTTCCTTTTCCAGGAGATGCACCTGGCCTGATGTTCAGCAGCCAAGGCATTAAAGACCAGCAAAACAAGTCTGTGTTTCCAGCGTGTGAGGACTCCTCCCAAGTATCTCAGCACTTCTTCCACGTGAGCCAATGCACAAGAACAGCTCCTAAAGATCAGCCATAACATCACAAAAACCAGAGACTCTAGGCAATGGTTTACTTCTGCAATGGCTGTAACATAGGCTGGCTTCAAAAACCATCTGTGCAAGAGATTACAGCAATAACAAACTCTTAAGTCCTCTTTCTAGTGATACTCAATACTAGGCCAAGTATTGCTTTGCATGCAGGAGTTATTCTTGCCTGGGATTGCATTCCAGCAGTRAGCTTGCACTAAGTTTAACACACATGACAACGCTGGCATCATGCTGGTTTTTAAAAAGTCAAAGTCTTTGATGACAGATGTCTTGTCTGTAAACCACACCAAACCCAAGCCACAGTTAATGRAAAGCTCTGGGTTTGAGTTCAAGTTTAGCTACATTGGCTGACTAATCAGGAAGCCTTCAATGAAAAAATCCCACAATGTGTAATTTCCACCAAATTATTTGTCTTTTTGCTACCGAAGTTGCTATCAAAACTGTTCAGGAAATTAAGCTAAAGCATGCTTGGCTACATACAGTCCACTTTGTATCCCTCCCTGCCTTCCTAAGCTAAACAAAGAAGTCTGACAAGAGAAGTAGCTTCAMTGCTGAGACAGTCTTTATGAAGTAGTTACAAAAAGTGGAAAGAATTGCTTTTGGTCTTATGAGGAATAGGCAATTTTTACWATCATTAAAGTGCTGCACTGCTGCTGTTTTCCACCTTGAACACTGATGTTCCACCTGCTTTCTGCTTTACCTTCTAAGCTTTAACAATTTCTTGGATCAGGCATTTTGGTCTCACAATCTTGCAGAAACAGTAATAAATAATAATAGAAGGAATAAAAAAAGATTCAACGAACAAGGATTCTCAAACGCTGCACCAGCACATAATAAATAGCTCTAAGATTTGCCTTTCTARTCTACATCTCTGGTTAAGCAAAGGAAACTCAAGATCACTTGCTATRTGTATTTTACTATTGCAATTCAGTGACAATGATCCAGTTAATATACCAGTTTCTAATACCACTATAGAAATGAGGATTTTTTTAACCTTCCTTATAAAGCCCAGGAGTCTCAAAGCAGCATGTTCAGCACATACCCTTCAGGAAAATTAGCCMCTCACATCCAAGAGAGAGCACACTCTTCCAGAGGCTATTCTGAACACAGGCCCAGACTTTCAACACATAGAGCTTTTGTGGAGAGCTTGTAGGGATTGTAGACCTCTTCAAGTGAGGGTCAAGAACAGTAAAAAGGAAGAATTTTACTCTAACCACTCAAAATGCCATYTCATACAGTGACCAGGTGATAGTGATAACCCAGTAAGCTCAACCCTTCAGTGATGACAGAAAGACAAACCTTCAGGACCTGCCTGAAGCTGYACAATAAGAAATTCATTTTAGGAGGCATTTTCAGAATTCATACTGTGGTAGGAGTGCACATATAATCTTGCAATTTAAAGTGCCTTGGGGTTTTTGCTTAGAGGTTGTTTTTTTTGGTTTGTTGTGGACCTGTGAGGAAGGAAATTGGGACAAACCCCAATGTAAGAGCTGTGCTACTTTCCAGCTGTGCCAAAAWTGTTTTGAAAGATTGTTATGGACTGCCACAAAGATACAGTCAGAAAGGCTTTACCTTAATGCTGGACTCAGGAATATTTTTCCAAGTTAAGTATTCAAACTGTGGCTCCAATTCTATTTAAAGCTTCAATTCCTCATTTCAAAGACATTTCATATTACCAAGTTTTAGATTTTGTTTTGGTGTGTGTTTAGAGATGCCATCTTCCAAGTTTTTGCACTCAAGAAAAATTTAACCAGCTTATGCTTTATGGATAGATTTACTAATCTGCCTTAAACTTCCTAGAAAYTAATCTGGAATTTGAGGCAGAATCACACATCCACAGGCACTACAGGAAACAATGTGTATGTCCTCTACAAGACAGACAGTATCCATACTGTTAGCAGCTCTACACAGCCACACAGTAAAAGCAACCCAAGCATAACATGAGCTCACTCTTAGCACAAGTAGTTCAATAGAAATTTGGCCAGAACTTGGACTGAGGAAGAGTAAGGAGGTTAGGGAACAGAAAGCAGAGCTCTCCTGCTACTCCAGAAGCAGCTTCTGCTTAAGGCATTTTACAGTCTATTAACCAACAGTTTACTGAATACTCCATTTAGATCACACGTTAACAGCCACTTCCAGAACTAGTACAAAGTTTCTTAACTTCTCCTCTAAACATTTCGCTGCTGGTTCTCTTCTCCCAACGAAGAGGTAATAAGGCTTTTTGGCATTTGTAGAGATACACTGAAAGGTTCATAGCAGGTCACCTGGCTGCATAATCCCACTGCACACCAGGAAATCAGTCTGATACAGTCATGTTTCCATTAGAGGACATCCAACTGACAGTTATTACTATTATATATACCCTCAGCATCTTGGCTTTCAGTAGCCTCCACTCAGGAACACTCGAGGGAAGCCATCAATTGCAAGGCAACCAAGTGGGGTAGGACTGGCTGTACAGCACAGGGGCACTTGCAAGGTAGTAGTTGCTGAAGTTTGCATCACTGACATAAGGTGCTGGCTGGTAGTAACAGGTCACATTAGTGGCATTGGGGATGACATTCTGTTCTGCCAGCACCTTGAGTGCTAGCAGAGAAATCAAATTGAGGGTCTGCCTTCGCTCGTGTCCCATGAGGCAGACGGTACTTTCGTTCACCACCCTGCGCAGAATCATGAGGTAGTCGTACTTGCTCCTCTCTTCTTTGGAGAAGTGGTTCTGGAGGTAGGTCTCTAGCTTGCGCTGCTGATCCAGGATGTCTGGGAAGTCTATGAAGAATCGGGAGCACATGTAGCGCTCCAACGTTTTGATCTCATCCTTATCCATTGGCTTGAARTCTCGGACTAAGAGGTTACTGTACTTCAGAAGCCCACCACCTCGGATCTCTTCAGGATTTTTGGTAGCTATCAGCTTGTTCTGGAGGTGATCAAAAGCTGCCTCAAAGTCTCCATACATGCTCTCCCCAATCACAGTTGGATGGAAGTGCTCCGACATGGGGGTTTCAGAGTAGTCATAGTAAAAGAGCAGGGAATCCAGTATGATTTGGAATGAGTCCACACTGAACTCAAATTGTCGTCGTATGCGCTCTACAAACTTAAGCTCCACRTTTTTGCCGTGCTTGTTGGAAAGCGATATCAAGCTCCAGCGGTCAGTCTCCGTGTACACCTTGACCAGCTTTTGGATGTAGGCTTCCTTCAGTGTCACAGGACTGATTTTCAGCTTGCTTACTCCTTCCGGCAAGAAATTCAAGAGCGATCGCAAGACCACATCTCGAACTAACTGAAACTCCGCCTCACTTGGAAGAGAAACTTGAAAAATGAGATCCAGATCTTTGCATCCCAAGCCATTATCCTTGACCAGGACGTGGCCAGCTGCAGARCCGTTCAGACGGACGTCGTGTACCACAATTCCTGCTTCGCTCAGCCGGCTCCGAACTGTCTGAACAATGTCCTTCAGAGTTATCTTCAGTGTTGGGAARTTCCCTCGCCCGTGGATCGGAACCACCTCTGTAAGGACCTCATGCAAACGGCTGACCTGCTCCCAGTTCAGGACACTGCAGGACATGGAGTCTGCTCTGCTACTTCCTTTGTCTGCCATCCTAGGGCTTTTTTTTCTCCAAAGAAACTGTACAGAGGTAGAATGTAAACAGAAAAAGACAAGTCAGGCTTCCTGTTTGTGCTTCCTACATCTATTCCAAGGCTCTCTTTTTCTATTTGCACACAGACACAAACTAGAAAAAATAATTCCACATATTAATGTTTATCAGCAATCCTTTCACCTGAAATGAGACACAACCTCTCTATTGGTACAGGCAAAAAAAAAAGATTTAGTTGCCATAGCTCTTTTATTTTTGTGAGACAGAGCTACTTCAGGAAAGCAGTTTGTGTTAAATGGAAACTACCAAAGATAACACATAAGCTTTACCTAAGTTTAAAGTCATCAGCAGCACCAGGTGAAGTGAGATGAGTTGCAAAGAACTTCTAAAAGTTAAACTTTGAAGTTGTTTCATGACGCATAAAAACTTAAATTGCAGTCTCCAACTAACACAACAGTAGAAAATGCTCAGGTGTTAGTTTCAGAATTTAGACATACAGTCCACTGATAACTCTTAAATTATGCCAGAGATACAAGATTTCCTCCTTTTCATGGAAGTCTTTCCTTTCTAGACCATCCAGCATCCATCTCTCACAGGACAAAGGCCAAGTACATCTTGCTCCTGCAAAAAGCTGCAACACTTCAGCATCCTGGASAGAATTCCAGCTGCAAAGTCAGGTAACAACATTCAACAGGTACTCCAGTCTGTAAGCAACTCTTCACCCTTCTTCACAGACACTGCCTAACCAAGCTACCTTTCTGGAAATAATCATACYTGCCCCAAGTTATGCTCAYTTGTGAAGGGCAAACAAGCTTGCARGAGCTGGGATAAATTCAGATGATGTGTATCAAGTTCATGGTACTCATTTAACACTGAGAATCTCACTAACCAGACTTGGTCACATCCTTGTCTGAACATKTTAAGCACAAGAGAATGATGTGATTAGCTGTGACAAGACTCCTTAAGTCCCTTGTTTTTCATAGCACGTAGATACTTACAGGTGTTCTACAGCCCCGCAGCTCCAACTGGTATTAATACCCTTTTCTTTTTTTTTTTTTTTTTTAAGTGTTCCAGGTTTCTGTGTAGCCAGGTGCTTCCTGACAGCTACAGACTAATGGAGGCCTCACCTTCTTCTGCCCCAAGTTCTCCTGAAGACTGCAGCTGCCAAGGTCAGACTAGTCAAACTTAAGCAAATTAACTCTTGACTAGCAAGAATGAAAAACTGAACCCTATGGTTTCCTAACAAGCAACAACACAGTGCATGGAACATTTTTAAAGCAAATTTCAAAGAAGAGCTATCATCATCTCAGGCTTCCCCTTTTGCAGCTTTTCTTTTTTGAGCAACTCATTTAACCTGCCAGCTCCTCGGAAGAGAGTCAAATCCTAGATTAAGTACACAGTGAGGTCAAAACGCTCCTGGGGAAGGAGCTTCTGTCCTTCAGCATGAGCTGCTGCATTACAAACTGTGCTGCCATGGATCACATCAGCACCRGCAGGCACCAAACAAACCTGTGATTTGCAAGATGATTAATCTAGGATAAATCAAGAGGTTCTTCAAGCTCAATCCTTAATGCTCCAACACAGCATAAACACAAAAGCATCAAGCCTGCCAGCACTTGCTGTCAGACCATTCAAGCACACTGAAGTACATTTCCTTTGTAAACTTATCCATTAAATCCTTCAGGTCACTAAAGAACACAAGTCTTCCCATGACTTCTAACTCAAGCTGCAAGYGCTCTCTGTTTCCTCTCCTCCTTCCCATTTGTAGCCCCCTCCACAGCCAGGATAACACACACAGCTCACTCACCCAGTGACTAGAAAGGACTTGGAGCAGTGCTTCCAACCCCACCACACACACTTGGTTCTGCTTGGTGACCCTCACCTAGGAGAATAATGCACACTGCTGCCCTTGGAGGGAAGAAGACGAAGTATTTCATTTCCAGTTCAGCRGAGAGTTTAATTCTCAGGCCGTCAACTGCCAAAGCCTCCCACCCCCAAATCATTTGCATTTGCCTGCTCGGCAAGGTTTCTGTTAGTGACAACAGGTTCCTAGCGACTCCGGTGTATTTGGGATGCTAACAGCTCACATGCCTCTTGTTTCACTGTCAACCATTCCATCCACAAGATCTGACACCTGAAGATGCTCACACCTGGGGAAGAAAACCACTACCAAGGCAGGAAACACTAACTATAATACCGAGCGTAAAGAGTATTCGACACAACATCCAAATCAGAGGCAAAAAGAGCAAGAGCTACACACCCTCACCTTGGTCACGACGAGGTGCGTTACCCTGCTACAGCAACTTTCCCCTATAAGACACATCATTTGACTCAACACCCAAAAAACTCCGTGCGCCTGTCCCCGAAGGGTCCCCTCAGCGGCTCTGGGGGTGATCCCTCAGCGGGGAAACCGCCTTGAGCAGCCAAAGCCATAGAAATAGCGCTGCCGAGCGCCTGCTCCCCGGAGAGCCCGCCCGGAGAGAGGAGAGGGGAGCCCCGCAAGAGAGAGGAGAGGAGGAGGGGAGCCCCGCAAGAGAGAGAGGAGAAGAGGGGAGCCCCGCAA